GTGAAAGAAATACGCTGAACTCCTTCCCCCCAAATGAGCAGTTGAAAACTCCAGGGAGGGCAGTGCTACTGTGACACACATGGGCACCCTGAGGTGGGGTTACCCACAGGACAACTTGCCTGGGCTTTGCCCTATGAACTGTTAAGTGCTCTATTGTTGTTCACATCTTGATATGAAATGTTAAGCATTAGTTCATCAATGATTTCATCGCACTTTAGCGAGTTTAGGTTCTCCTAAAGGTTGCATGACTTGTGAGTGGAGACCCTGTAGTCAGACTCTGTGTGCCTTCAGGCCCATCCTGCCAACTGGGCTCAACTTTACTACAGTATTGCTTCTCCTTGAATCCAGGTGTGCAGCTCATCTGGAGATAAATGGCAGCTTGCTGGCCTCAGTGACCTTGTGTGCAGTTGCTCCCTGTACCAGTCTGGGCCTCACTTCTTATTTTTCCCTTCAAAAGTATAACCACGCAGAGCATTCACAGCTTATGAAGGAGGAGAGACGTTGGATAGTGAACTGTAACGGGCAATCCCGCTTACCTGCCTCACCTGCCCCTTTATTTCTCTGTTTCTGCCCACTGCCAAGCTTTTTTTTTTTCAACAGAAGCATTTAACAGCCATCTTTGAATATTGGAGTCTGCCTTTGGCCCCAGTGATTTATTCAAACTTTGTTCTTAAAAATGCATATATTTTCCAAAAGAGAAAATTTTGTTAAATATATATTTTTCCTATCAACCTATCAATAATTACAATAATTAGGGCACTACAAAGAGGAAACATTATAATTTCATGGAGTACACTTACCAATATGGTTAACTTTGAAAGAATCTGAGTATGAATTATTCCAGTCAGGCATTGTTTGTGGGGTTATGAACAGGCTTGGGTAGAGCTTGGTTGGAGGACAGGGTAATTATTCTAGTGTAGACCAGTGAGTCACAATGACCTTGAGCTCCTGTATGGAGAACAGGAGCTAGTATATTCCCACATTGATTTCAACATCATGAATTGTTTTTAAGAGGAGCCTTGGTGGTGGAGTGGTTACACGTTGGGCTGCGATCTGCCTGGTCGGCTGTTCAAACGCCCAGTAGCTCTGAGGGAGGATGCCTGGGCTGCAGTCTCGGCAGCCCACAGTGGGTTGCTGTGAGTCAGCACTGACTCAATGGCAGTGAGTTAGTTCTAGTCGTTTCCAGGTGCCATCGAGTCAGTTCGCACTCACAGCCACCCTCTGTAAAACCGAACAAAACCCTGCCTGGTCCTGCACCATCCTCACAGTCGTCCTTATCTTTGAACCCATTGTTGCTGGCTCTGTGCCAGTCATCTTGCCAAGGGCCTTCTTCTTTGTCATCGCCCCTCCACTATACCAAGCATGAGGTCCTTCTTTAAGGGCTGGTCTCTCCCAGTAACATTTCCGAAGAACGTGAGCTGAAGTCTCGCCATTGCTCTCTTCCAAGGAGCAATCTGGCTGTACTTTTTCCAAGATGGATTTGTACATTTGGCAATCCATGGCACTTTCAGTATTGTTTTCCAGTACCATGATTCAAACGTAGCCTTCTTTGTTAGTCTTCCTTATTCAATGTGCACTGTCCACATGCATATGAGGTGATTGGAAACACCTTGGTGAGGGCCAGGTCTACCTTAATCCTCGAAGTAGCAGCCTTGCTCTTCAACACTTTAAGAGGTCTTGCGTTAGTTACTTAATGCAATGTGTCATTCAACCTCTTGATTGCTATTTCTATGAGCAGTGATTATGGATCTAAGCAATGGTTTTGTTTACATGTAGTTGTAATCCATACTGAAGGCTGCAATCCTTGATCTTAATCAGCAAGTGCATTAAGTCCTCCTCACTTTCAGCAAGCAATGGTGTGTCATCTGCATGTCGCTGGTTGTTAGTAAGCCATCCCTTTGGGTTTCTGAGGCTTTAAATCTTTATAGGAGTAGACAGCCTCATCTTTCTCCTGTGGATCAGTTGGTGGGTTCGAATTGCTGACCTCATGGTTAGCAGCTCAATGAGTAACCCACTGTGCCACCAGAGCTCAACCACATCACTAACTACAGTGTACCAATTTCTACTTATTGACGTGGTTGGTTTTATGGACTTTAATGGACTCTCAGCTCCACGAAGGTAGCGGCCATCGAAATTGTTGAAGGAAGCATTCCTCAAACCTAGCAGAGTGCTGAGTGATCGCAGCAAAAGTTCTTGAATGAGTAAATAGATCAATGACTTGGAAATCCAAAAGTACTGGACAATGTGTTTTTGCTTCCAATTTGAAAGTGTAGTCCACATGAGGTTAAGTGTCAGATAATCATTTTGTTCTTCTTTGATATAGTGCCACTTCCCTGAACCATTTGATCACTGCCATGAATCCAATGACAAGTACTAATGGGTTCAATTTATCTATTCAGGTAGTGCAAAATTGCAGATCAGACAAAAATATTGTCCTTAGAGCCCTGCAATAGTTTATTCTCACCTCCATTTCATCATTAGGACAGTGACAGTTATTGGTCTCAGTAATATGACAGCTCTTTTTTCCCCTTCCCTTTCTTTTCTGCACAAACAAATTTCAAACGAGCATTTTCCCTCTAAACTGATGATATTTATGTCCAATTTTCAGGTCCCAAAGGGGAGGCTGGTGGTTTGGGGATCCCAGGACCACCGGGAGTCATTGGACCCCAAGGTCTACAAGGCCAGAAAGGAGAGAAGGGTATGTAAGTCCTCCTTTGCATGTCAACAACTCAGGAGAAATTCTGCATCA